AGTCTCACAAATATGTATATCAATCCTATTATGCAGAGGAAGAACAGACTATAAAACACATAAACAAAATTATTTTCTGACATTTTTATCAATCACTTTAAATTGTAAACGAAATTTAAATTGGTTTGGACCGACAAATGTCTTAATACTGTATAACTGTGAGAGGCTTTTAAAATGTTAACCAAAGCAACAGTAAATTTCAATTAATTAATTATTTAAATCAATTAATTGTTGTCATTTGCAATAATAAATTAATTTACTAAAAGAAGTGTTAATTAAGATTTAAGCGCTTAAATGAGCTAAATATACACTAAACTTATAGAAAATATACGAAACCAATTCAACAAATCTTACTTCTTATTGATAATATCAGTCATGTCTAGCACTGACACCACATCACAAAATTTAATCAAAGGAAGGATATATTTATTAGCAATTCTTACGAATGTAAATTTATTTAAAATTTAAATTATATTGTTAAATTAATTCTTATTCGTAAGTTTTTAAACAAATATTTAAACAAATATATCGATAAATTTACATTTTATTGAAGAAAATTATTTATTATACAATATAAGACAATTATATATTAGTTTAGAAACAAAATAAATAATAAGTAAAAATCTGAGAAAAGTTATAACAAATGTTCAAAAATTTAATGAATTATTAATTAATTAGTTAATTATGTTATTATTAAATTATAGTTAAATTAAAAATTATTTTCAATAAGTCTATTGTGTCTGAAATGTAATGAACATTAAAAGTAAGACAAAAAATGTTTTATAAATTTTAATAAAAATAACAATGAGTTTCAGTTATAGTTAAGTAGTTTGACATCACTTTTGTATTATTTTACTAATATTTAAATCAAATTCATTATAATTAGTCATTGAGTGTCAAAATTGTTTTGAGAAAAATTGTAAAATTTAAAGACATTTTTATAAAATATTATTATATTGTATAATAAATTCACAAATAATTTGTATTTACTTTTGTTTAGTTGGCCTCCGGTTTAAAATCAATACGATATTAAATATTAATATAGAATTTACTGATTTATATATAAGTAAATGACTGAATGACTCGATTTACCATTAATTACAATAACATCTAAAACGTTATCTTCTCTTCATTTTAATACTGTATATAATTAAGTGTACGAACTATTTATCTACTAATTATAGGCAATTATAGCATAGGTTTTGACATAAAAAGCAAATATTTTTGTTCTCAAAAAACTTTCTATAACATCAAAAAATGATTATGTTTTTAGTCATTATTTAATATAACTTTTTAAATAACTTTCTTGTTTTTTAATAATAATTAATGTAATAAGAATTATAGTAATAAACTGTTGGCACGTAATCTCAAATATGTTATACTATTCAAAGGATATGTATGTTTAGGTAAATGACTTTTCGCCTCAATTGTCACAATATATTGTCATTGATATCAACTGAGATTCAAATAAAGTGTACATTTTTTCATTGTGTCGATGAAAAACGAGACATCTTTTCTTTCAGACGTTATCATCAGTTTTACACTTTCCCTTAAACTGTCGGCGTTGGAAGCGTCGCATCCGATCCGCCCACTCCTCCTTCCAGTCGATGGCTATACTCCTTCTGTCAGCGATCAGACCCGTCGGCTGAGTCTCCCTTTCGTCGTTTCCTTCAAAATGACAATTTATTTTCGTTTTAGGATTTAGTAATGTTTGCAAAATAAAAGCACACAAAAGTTGAACATAATATGACATAATAGTGAATAATACCTAAAATAAGGTAAGTGTGTTTGACTCTAATCCTGGGGCACTTGCAGGCCAAGTCGTCCAGCGGTACCCATAGAAATTCAGTACCTCTTCTCAATTTAGTGGTCGAGTGTTTGTAGATTTGCATTATTTGGATCGTAAAGCGAACCCAATCGCCGACAGTCTCTCTGGATATAACATTTGCCTGAATTGCTGGCATATAATGGAAAGAAATGCTAGTTATTTGTCTATTGACTCTCAATTTCTGACTTTCTTTTTCTTGTTTAGTATCACTTTCTAAATGAAAGTCTCAAATCGCATGCCTTAACGATAACAGCAAATAATGGTTTATACAAAAAAAGGGCGAATTATTCAACACAGTTAGAGTTGGCAATAGTATTGACGTTCACTGTATTGTAGACCTGTTTATAGTAAAGAATGAGAACTACTTTCACTTTCAATAAAATGAAAACTCAATAAGAATGGGAGACAATATATTTTTATGAACACATTTGTGAAGTAATATGAAGTTATATGAAACTAAACTATTTTATATAAAACGAGTCAAATAAAGATTGAGTTTTAAAAAATTGTTTAAAATTGTGTTTTCTATTCAACGAATTATACGATAAAATATAAAGTATTTCATTATTAGTTGAGGAATATATAAAATTCTTGTCTCAAATGTGGACTCATTTTTATCGATATTTATCACAAATGCGATTCTTTATTAGCATTTCGTCGCTGTTTTCTTGAGATAATATTAGTCGTACACCAGAGAGACAACAGAATATGTGTAATAAATTTTAATAAATAACTTAACTCTTGTGTAAAAACTATGATTTTTAGACCCATAATTGTCTCGTATAGTAATTATGGTGCGAATGACTCAAACCAACCCTTCCCTAACATATATACAGTTAACTCATAAAATTATTTACGTTATGCTTTTCACCGCTATTTCCGAATCCCATTCCCATTATATATAACTTTCATCGCTATTAGAGACTAAAGAGAGTAAAATCTCGGGAGAAATAAATGCGAGCCTAAGTGTTGGGGGAACTGAAAAATAGAGAGAGAGAGAGAGAGAGAGAGAAAGAAAGATTTCTCGGCTCCAGTTTTGATAAAAATTAAAGACATTATCGTTCATTCAATGTCTTAAAAGAGTAATAGAAAGTCAGAGAGAGAGAGAGAGAGAGAGAGAGAGAGAGAGCTGTGATCAATGACAACAAGGATTTCGGATAATATTAGCTTTGAATTCAACCTAATATTGTATTTACTGTACTTTTATTATTGTCAAAAAACAAGTGAAAACTATACGATAAGACAGTGGTCTAAAAAATTAATACAACTGTCCGTTAGGTTAAACATTATTGATGCGACTCTTGTGAAGCAAACAAAAAGCTCAAACATTACGGTATGGCTTGAGATGTGATTTACAGCTGAAAACACAGACAGAAAATGAGAATAAAATAAGAGAAAAAAATGGTCTAAAACTTGTTTTTGAAAATTCGGTATTTTTGAAGTATTTGATGAATTAGTGGTAAATGAGTTCCTAAAGCAGTGATTGCTTTGAGAATATGTCAGGAATTGAAGTGGAAATAGTCTACAGATTCTGTACAACACTGTAAGCGATAGTTATATTAATTGGTTTATACAGTGATATACAGATAGGAATATCAGAGAAAACTAACTCCTATTAAGGAATCGCTGCAAACAAATAGTGTGTATAACAGTAATATATTAATACATTATATGATGTGTTTTTTCTCTAATAAATATCAATATAATGTTGAGTGGGTTTTGGTGTTCGTAATCAACAAATTGGTATTGAAGTGAAAATTACAATAAGTTAGAAACGACTCATTTGAGTGTTGGCTTCAAATATATGTTTTTGCTTTAAATGAAATATAAGATGCAATGAAGCGGTGACTGAGAGTAACAAAGTTTGCCTTTTATTGATGAAAATGGTGTCAAAAACAGTGAGATATTGAAGAGAAAGACCGCTAAAAGTAAAGCATTTTTCTCGAAGCCGTTAGAAGTGTTGCCCAAAATTGGTCTCAATGTATGACTCATAGAGAAAGTGAGGCGAGATATGCAGTCAAGTGTGCGCTCATTGCTATTGCTTTAGATCAGGGATGCGGGGGATGAAGGGATGCTGACATTGTTGCCTATCATAGGTATTACTGACGAATGCATCGTTAGGGTATGTGATATACAAAGAGAGAGAGAGAGAGAGAGAGAGAGAGATTGTGTTCGCGTGATTTAACAGTTAACCCGCATTGCAATCAATGGTTACGAAAATAGATTTGAAGCGAAACAGCAAATCATTATTTATGAGAATCACATGTGGACTCACATTATAAAATGAAGAGTTGATATTCAAAACAACATATTCTCTATATATTTATTACTTTTACTCAACAATTTCTGTTTATATACATATGTCTTGCGATAAAAAACCATTTTCTGATTTTCGCTTTTCTCTATCACTTATTTATTTATTTAACTTTTATGTTGTCTTATAATGTTATTCAATGTATATTATGTTTTACATATAAAAATCCCGTAATAGTATTAGAATAAATAAATATAATTTTGGTTGCAATATTCTTGATAAATTTATAAACATAAATTGTATTTTTAATTAAACTAAATGCTAGCAAATTATTTAAATATTAATACTTTTTAAATAATATAACGTTTTAAAAAAGCCATTAATTTTCTATTATATAAAATATGTGACAAATGATAGACTATAATAGCTATTATTTCAATGAAGCACTTCATGCGATATTTTAATTCAAAGTAATTTATTTAAAAGAAATATATATAGATTTACATCTAATTATAGCCTATTTATTGTTAACCTATATTTTGAAGGCATTATATTTTCCTGAGAGGTCTTTATTTTAAGAATATATATTCCGGAAACCTTTTTAAACAAATTTTTCAATGCATTTCTGAAGTCAAAGAATAAATAAAACAATTTATACTCAGATATAAGCCTTTGGCTATATTTTCAAGAATTTCCTAATATTTGAAACAAAGGTATTATTTATTATATTTTGGCACAATTTATGGCAAGAATTCTCGTGTGAATTATCCCGGGATATGTTTTTTACACAAAAATACATAATTCTTTTAATCCGGTGCCGGAAGGGGTGGACAGACCTCAGACCTGGCGGTCCCTCGCATTCAATTTAAAGGTTTCTGTTTTTCATTTGAAATATAGACTCAAATCGAATAAAATGCTCAAAAATAGTCGATAGCTTTCAAACTCAAATTTAATGTATTTCTCTCTCTCTCTCTCTCTCTCTCTCTCTCTCTCGCTCTCGGACTGAATGTGCAAATAATGTGTTAGTCTATCGTCTTATAGTCTATAGTCTAACAGCACTCCAATGACAGACAAAAGAAAGATTTTGATATTAAATTTCGATGTTTTTCTGTTCAATAATGCTTTTTCGGTATATATTCTATGTATGAAAAATTACTCCCAAAAACTTATCTAACTTTAGGGATAATCTTCATAACTATACTGTATATGTAGAGAGAGAGAGAGAGAGAGAGAGAGAGAGAGAGAGAGAGATGGAAGTCCTTTCTGGAGAAGCAATGATATATTTTGGATGAATTTCATGAGCAATGAATAGTATGGGTCGCATAGGAATTGCACAGCCATTCAATCCTCCAGTGAGTCGTACTCTTCATCTATAAGTAGTTTTTGCAAAAGGGATGGAAAGGATGGCATACTTTTTGCCAGCGAAACACCGCATCCATTCATCGCCGCACACATACAGCACACTATCGCACAAAACTGTTACATACAATGATATAATACAATGAAATAAAGAAAAAACACATACAGTAAGCAATAGATGTGTGTATAACACAACTGGTATGCAATCACAGATCACTGTATTTTTAGTGCATTTTCTTTTAAGAGTTACATTTAGTTTAAACAATACATACAATTCAGTGAGAAATGGATGGCAATAGTAGTGGCGGTGGAGACCGAGGGATGTCAAAGATGTCTGTGCTTTCATTCACTCAAAGTGTTTAACTCAAGAGCACATCCAAGGCATCGGATTAAACGTGAAATGTGTGGAAAAACGTATGCATTTAAGCCAATAATATAGCGAATAGAGAGACGATTAGAGATTGTGTAAAACCATTTCATAAATTGGTTTATTGCTAAAGATTACGATCGCTACACAAAATTAAGTGTTTGAATGAAAAAATATAATAAATGGACTCCTATTTTGGGGGTTAAAACTTGCAATTTTCACTTTTACATCGGTTTGTATTATGAAGTCTACGAATGGGAATAAAAATGTCCAAAATAACTATAAAAACGTCACTTTAAAAAATGTGTGTGAGAGAGAGAGAGAGAGAGAGAGAGAGAGAGAGAAGGTGTCTAAACCTATTAAGTGTAATATTATTATTAGATATCTAATAATTAAAGCCATAAATAGTTACTTCAATGCGTGGTTTTAAACTGAATTAAGCGTTAAAACAAGAAATTGAAAACTAATAAAATTATTGTATATATTGTCTTAAATTTAGTGCAATATTCACTTGAATATCAATTTATAAAATTGTTTATTAAATAATATTTTACTTAAATTACTGTAAATCTCAGACCAATATTCAAATGCATGTATTATTTAAATCATATGTAAATATTTTAATTGCTCACAAAATTATTCATTTACCAGAAGACAACACATTTGAATAATAAAAACATTGAATTA